ATATTGTGAAATAAATAAACAACTTTAAAATTTGATGGTGTGATTTTAAAGTAAAGAGGATGAAATAAACACAAAACTTATAAAATTTTATGGAAAAAAAGGGTTCAAATTGAGATGTGAAGATGATGTTATACCTTCCTTGAATGTTCCTTGATTGAAATTATTTATAAAAAAAGGTTCAAAAAAACCTTCTTTGTATGATGCTCATATTTTGAACTCAGGTATGTTTGCATATCATGTGTAAGAGCATCTTGATTATCACTCAGGCGAGGTGTAATTACCCTCAGGTTGCTTGTAACATATTCTTTTATGAGACATCCTTTGAGCTTTTCTAAACTTTAAATTTAAGAATTTTTTAGCTAAATTTTATTGAAGTAGAATATGCATCTTTTCATGGGTTGTTTTAGATTTGAAAGCATATCTTTTTAGAGCAAATTTAGTTAAAGTAGAAAAAAAATTTCTTTTATGGGTAGTTTTATATAGACCATTTTAGAGCATATTTAATTTTTCTGAATAAAAAAAAAATTCTTTTTTATTTTTTTAAGCTTACCAGATTCTCTCTTACTTAGCTAGAAAGTTTGATTCTTCTTTCTATATGTTCTTTAACCACACATACTTGGAGCTTTATCTTGAGGTTGTCTCTAGTTTAGTCTTCTAAAAATTCAATTTGTATAGAAAAAGAACTCATCCAACTTGCATAAAGGTGTATGGAAACTTAAGAAACTGTGAGAGAGACACTTAGAGTTGGCGAACCATCGATATAATCACTTGAAACCCCTCGGGGAGTTTGCCAACCCATCGATAAAGGAGATCTATGTCAGCATTAATTAACCTACCGTAGAAGCCAACATCTTTAAACTGAAATCTGCCAAATGTCAAATGGTTAAAAATAACCAGTTTAGGGGATCACCCATTGAGAACCATAACCATCTCTTAGCTAACTTCATAGAATTGTGTGTCATTTTCAGGCATAAAGGTGTTCCTAGTGATGTCATTAGGCTAAGACTTTTCCCCTTCTCACAGAGAGATAAAACCAAGATGTGGTTAAACTTTTTAGCCCGAGAATCCATCACCACTTAGTCTGATCTTGCTCAGACGTTCCTAGCCAAATACTACCCTCCATCTAAGACTATCAAGCTTATGAATGACAACACCCTGCACCCAATTAGATGGAGAGTAAATTTACAAAGCTTGGAAGAGGTTCAAGGAGTTGCTTAGGAGATACCCACACTACGCCTTCCATGACTAGCTTATCATCCAAACCTTTTATAATGGGTTGGTAAATTCCTTAAGATCCAGCATAGATGTCGTCTAATATCAAAATGATATTATGAGGCATACAAACTGATTGAGTAAATGACCATCAATAACTTTCAATGGTCTTCTAAGAGAGTCACCCAAAAAAAAGTGATTGTGTATGACACTGGCATCCTATCTATCCTAGCTTCATAAGTAGCTACCATTTTTAAGAATTTAGATACCTTCAGAGTGAATTTAGTGCAAGGAACCCTACCAAGTGAGTAGATAAGTTAAGAACTAGTATGAGATCCTAGCACCACAGCCTTATAGACCCTCAATGTTATATGCAATAAAATGAACAACCAATACAAAATACCGACAACCTAGGCGAAGAAAACCACCCTAATTATCAATCGAATAAAAACAATTAAAGTATAGGAAACCAGTAGTGGTGGAAGACTGAAGCTAACCCTGTAGTTAGATAGAAAAACCAAAGGAACAATAATCAGACATAACCTTTACTCACTAGGATTCTCTTTCAATACCCACCCTAAGAAGAAGAAGTCGCCCCAAGAAGAACTAGTGTTACAAATTGTGAACTAGTAAAAGAATCAAGTTGCAGTAATTTGGAACATAGAAAATCAACTTGAAGAGCTCGCAAATTCAATGAACAATAGACCCCCATAGACGCTCTCCAGTCACGAAGAAGTGAACCCTTAGGAGAAAGGGAAGGAGCAAGTTTAAGCTTTAAGATTGAGAAGTGGAAAAGAGTTAGAAGACACAATAAGAGGGAGAAGAGTCTTATTGTGGTACATGCGAAGCCAGAAAAAACTAGGGAGACCTAAGTCAAGGACTTAGAGAAACTAGCCTCACCCCTAGGAAAGAGCAAGGGAGGCCTCCACCACCCTTTCCTAGAGACTATAGAAAAAAATTGGACTAACAATCCTTGTGATTTTAAACGTTTTCAAGAAGCTGACCATAAACATCTCATTTTTAAACACTAGAAATTCGAGTTTTTTTTTTTTTCTAAAAGTACTTCTCAAAATGATGTTCATAGAATTTCTTATCATTCAAAATAGCACAAATTTGGTAGTTGATTGGGATTATGATGACTACAACATCATTATGTAGATTTTCATCAAGTGGTTTTCTACTTAAATGACATTTATGCATACAACATTTGTATGTGGAGCTCTTATTATAATGGTTAAATTTATCTTTTTGAACAAAGTCTTCGAGGCATACTAGCTATAAACTTTTGATCTTTCACCTTTAAAAATATCTAAAACTACTCCAACAATGTGACTCAAATGAGTTAGAAATTCTCCTCCCAACCTCAACCAAGATGAAATAATTCAACTTCACTTTCTTTATTAATTTATTCAATTAGGTCTTAGAGCTCTCAATAATCCCTTGTACAGTGTCCATGGTCTTGTGAGAGCCAAAATATTTAAAAGGAACTCCACCACTAACACTGGCTCTCATTAGTACAATTCATTTAAAGTAATGGTCATCGATGATAACTTATATTATGTGAATTATTAATACTAATGAGTGACCTCTTCTCTTTTTCAGCATAAAAATTTTGAGATTTTATTATCACAGCTCGAGATGATACTTCATGTGTTGTGATCAATTGTTTTAAAGTAATGGTCATCGATGATAACTTATATTATTTGAATTATTAATACTCATAAGGAGTGATCTCTTCTCTTTTTCAGCATAAAAAATTTGAGATTTTATTATCACAGCTCGAGATGATGCTTCGAGTGTTGTGATCAATTGCCATGTTATTAATATTGCTAATTTAGAAAACAAGGCCTTTTAGTCAACTTATACCTTTTTTTTTGCATCTTAGTAATTATTGATGAGTTAAAACAACCGAGACAAAGTATTCTGCTACTGCAAGCCAAATGCATATCAAAAAGGTCACTCGTTCATGCCTTAGTCGAGTGTCTGTTGAGCCGTAGCTAAATCCACATCATTTACTTATTAGAATCTTACAATAAAACCTCTCAAAGATTAAACTTATTCTCGTCTTTATTTCCAACAAGACCAACAAATTTTTTGAGAACTTCTGAGCATTAACAAATTGAAGAATGATTTTCCTCTTGGAATAGGTAAAGTTAAGTGATATACTTCTAAATTAAAAACAACATGATCAATTAAGCAGTGACTTATAGAAGTAGTAAAAAATAATCCACACTGCAAAGCATCATCAGTATTCTATAGAACTTGCTAACTCAAAAGTAAGCAGCATGATCAATTAAATTTGTTTTTCTTTTTTAAGAGACTGAATGAAGAATTTCAAACTTTGTTGTCGACTGTGCCTTAGTAATTCCTCTTGAAAATGTAATCATCAAACGAGGTTCACACGTCCCAATTTAATGAGTAAAATTTTCACTACTTTTAGAAATATAACTCTTCTATCTGTTAAGCTTGGAGGCTGTTAGCGAATGATTGAATATAAGAAATCCCCTAGAATTTCAACACACAATTGGTTCTAGGAAACTGTACTACTTCTCGAGTCTCATTTCATTTCCATCAACTATTTACTCGCAACAAAATCATTCTTCGAAGGCTTTCAATCTAGTCTCCAGCATTCCTCCATGCTCGTTGCACCTTTGCAATATTGAATCTAAACTTATGCACGAGTAACAAGAATGGTTAAGCAAAAGATCTACAGAGAAATAGCATTTAGAGAGGAAAATTCTAAAACTTCACCGAAGAGGAAAAAGTACAATGCTTGAACAAAACAGATTTTAGGTCCTAAACTCAACCTTCAACCCCCTATTAATGGGCTCAAGTGAAGGCACATTATTACAACAAAGGTTTTTCTTGAGCTATATAAATAAATCTTTAACCAGTGATTTGCTCTATGATAAATGAGATGTAACAAAAATTGAAGAAGAGCATACATACTGATTGTCTAGTAGAAACTGTATCCAGAAGTAATCCTTCTTTTTTATTTTAATCCATGGGAAGCCTTTTGTCGACTTCAGTTAAATCTATTGAGTACGAATGCATAGCTCAAGTGCTTAGGCAAATTATTGTGGCAATTTGAGGCTAATTGTTTTGAAGAAATACTTTAATTTTTTGCATCTAAGACTAATTGTCCGAGGCGAGTTGTGGCATATCTAGAGGTCACCATAATTGAAGATCAAGAGTAATGGAAGACGTTGTCTAACCTTACTGATATTGATCAATGAAGATAAAAACCAAGGGTGTTAGAAACAACAGTAAAATGATAGTCACGGATCATAATCCTAATTGGATGCAGTTAATGAATAGCATGTCATCTCAAATATTTCAGCATTTCATGAAATGATATAAGAAAATGTTAGCTAATAGAAATACAACTTACTCAATCCTGACATTCATATTCATATCCAAACAGCTATCTTAATATTGGGACGTTATATCTTTCAGGTATTCTGCCTAACAACAGGGCTTGTGCTATAGCTTTATTGAATTATATAATTTTTCTGAAGCTCATTGACACTAAAGATTCATCTGGAACACCTTCATCAGAATTAACTGCAACACAATCGACAAAGGCCTCTAAACACTGTTCCAACATCCCATACTTAGATTAACAACACCAAGTTTGCAGCCTACGAAGCAGAAGTTCCAAAAAAGCAATGAGAAAAATTCCTATCAAGGAATTCCTCTTAAAGATTCCTACAAAAAATTGCTTGTCGCCTATTATTCCTCATTGTGCTTAGAATAATATTAAAACAAAAACATAAATATCATGGTGAAATAATGGGAGATAAAACAATGATAATAACCATTTAGAACAGGAATTCCTTACAGGATTACCGTCCGGTACAACTTAGCTCAAAAAATAGTTGCCAGCAGAAGGGCTGCATTGAAATTATCAGATAAACATAGTCAAAATCCAAAATTTCTCATAAGAAAAAAAAGGAAGATGCCTGTCTGCTTTAACAGTTGATTCTATACATAAACCGGAGTAGCAATTCCATGTACATTTTGTGTTCTGAATTATATGTATGCTCAGGCTGCCCACAAAATCATTTGAGGAGAGAATATAAACAGAGTTTCACCGTTCTTCAAGCATTTGCATTAAGCAGAAGTGCGCCTCTGGGCGGTTTCTTAAGAACTTAGAATATGAGATTCCAATTCTCTGAAGCAATACTTGGGCCTCAACTTAACAAGTGCCTGCCTGAGATCCTGCTGGATCTGGTTACTTGAGAACACTTCCTCCCATAATTTGTCAATTACTGTCAAAAGAAACAAGTATTTATAAGCCTGACTTGTAAATACAAAGGAAGGCAAAGATACCATTCTATGTGGCCAACCAGAATTTAGTCAGTAAATGTAACACATGCTAAATTTGAATGCAATACCTGCTACGATACTGCTTAGAAATAAACAACATTTATTAGGAGTGAATATGATAAACTACAAATAATACAACAGAGAAGAATAGGATTTATGTGCTTCAACAACTATTTACTCTGTCATGGCACACAAGTGATGGTGGTTTCCATAAAATTACAGTTGAATACAGGATAAAAATACAGTACTTAAGTTCCCACAATAATTACTCTTATGATTTTCCTCTCCTATTACATCCCAGCTTGTCTTTCCAGTAGATTCAATCTTCACAAAAAAGCAAGCACCAAGTATATAATATTACATAGATTTGCAAAAGAATATCTATGTTATATCATCCATCTCCTTTCTCTTCTAACAGCTGCAAAAAATGACTGTTTCTGCACAGCTACATCCCTCCGCTATTATACTCGCCGACCATAGCCCTCTCACAAATCATTACACCAGCATTTTAAGACATTAAATTTCTAATCCCCATTTTTTGATAGTTGCAGCGAGAATCAGAGAGATGGCAATTAATCTGCGCTAGTCTTAGCGTCTAGGATCTTTTTGCATAAAAGAAATAGCAAATTAAAAGATCCTTGTTTCTGCTGCCTGAGCCAGCCACTTACATGCTATTCTTATTTTTGTTTAATACTGTCAGAAGATCAGAGAGATCACCAACTGTTTGAGATTGGAGAAGTGCATGGAAGAAAGAAAACCATATATTTTCTATTCCTTCTTAGCTGCACAACCAAAGTATTCACAGGTTGAGGGCCAGCAGAAGCTTTAAAGTCTACTAAACAGTCAAATTAGTTTAAAAATAAAAATCTTGTTAACAATTGATTTTCGAAATCAAATTTATCAAAAAAATAAAAATCTAATTAGTTTGTAAGGAATTTTTTAGAGAACTACGACCCAAAGCTGAAAACATCATATATTAGGAACAAGCAGATCAAAAAATAAATTCCGTGCGAAAAGAAATGATGCATAATATGGGTGTTGATATTAAAATGCCTGGCAAAATAGATTGACCTAAAAACAAAGTAATGAGAGCTGCAATATCTTCTCTATAGGAATCTTCTTTGTTT